GGGGAACAACATTTTGAAATTAAAGATATCCTTGATCCGCGCACTCACCGTGGATCCACACAATATTTAGTAGCTTGGAAACACCTTCCTTCCTCAGAAAATGAGTGGGTAGCCAAACGACATGTAAAAGCACCCACATTACTATGAAAGTTCCACCTAAAATACCCTGATAAACCATCCTAAACTGCAAACATAACGCATGATTTTTGTTTTTTCCAGGTAGACCGATCTGTTTTTTAAGGAGGGCAGGATGTCAGATCCATGTATCTGTCATTTCTTCAATGGAAGAAGAAAAGGGGAGGGGGGACTGATAAAGAAATCCTTCTTGATGTAACTTGAACATATTTAATCTTATATCGAATTTGTATAACCTACACATGATACAATGGAGGGATGAAACCCAGATGGCCGGAACCCTATCACCTCTGAGAGACAGCCAGGAGATGAAGAGACCATAAAAATTCGACAGTGAGATGTGTCCTGGGAAACTCTGAAAAAGATCATTCTGAAAAGGGGGTTGGGGGGAATTAACATGTTGGCTCTTTGTTTTACTAAATACACATCAAGATAAGGGAGGGGTTTTAAACTCCCTTATCTATCTCTGCATGCCTGAGAGACCTTAGACGCTGCTTTTAACCCCTACATGAATTGTCTCATCTCAATAAAGGATTCCTTTTGATAGGTTTTGATATGTTTTCAGAAGTTCATTCTAGTTGGTTGAATGGGAAGTTTTGTAGCCTGACAAACTCAGACCTGTGGTTACCATGGCATATATGACAACATCCATAAAACCACAAAATTAATTTTAGTTTTTGAAGTTAAAGTCAACATTTGCAAGACTTTGCTGTTCCTGTCTACAGATTATAGCATTTTTAAAAAAAATTATTTGGGACCACCTTCAGTATTTCTGCAAATGTTTTTACTCCACACATCAAAAGCAATGATTCGATCAGCAAAGTATGTTATAGACCTAGTAGTGTTATCAGAATTAAGCATCCATTTGGCATTAATTTTTTAACATGTTTACAAAGTACAACTTTTAAAAAATGAACAAGCAAATATTAAATATTTGCTGATATTTGCTGATGTGGAATTGATACTGTAATTGAATCATTTCAATTGTTGTGCATCGTTTACTTAGAACTATGTCCACTAGTTCTCTCAGTAAATGCACTTAAGATTAAACTTTAATGTTAATATTGGCCAAAATTGCAATTATTACAAACATGCGTTTTTAATTAAAACAGATTTCCTTTTCTATTCAGTGCGGGTCCTTTTCAGCAAAATGAGTGTTGCCTCTAAATTATTGTAAACTTCACGGCATACCGTATTGGTATGGTGTATTACCCATTTTTTCTAAAATTTTCAAAAGTACTGTCACGTCTTGTATTCCAACGCCTTGGTAAGGGGCGAAATTATAATCCAACACTAGAGGTTGCATTGCAATACCTGGTTACAGAAGAATGGTAGTCCGCCCACCCCGGATGACTAACAAATCCTATAACCGTCTCCACCCTTTCATGTTTCATGCCTGTCCCTTGAGTAAGCAAATTTCGACTTCAGGGCATCTTTTCCCAGCAATCACTGGGAACAGCCCTCACCCAAGCCGAAGGAGGCTGGAAGCTGAGGAGGAAGGAGGAGGCGGGCAGTAATCGAGTGCACGATTCGGCCATGATTCAGCAAGCAATAGGGACATGGAGGGAAAGGGGAGGGGGAAATCCAAAGCGAGTCTATCCAATCCCGTCTTGGAGCTACCACGCACGTAACCACTCGTACAGCGCAGACGCAGTACTAACACTACGCAAACGCTTTTTAAGGCAAACTAATGGGCCACCGTACTTCCCGGAAATGAATTGTCAGTGATAAGACAGTCTGCTAGGAGGTCTTTTTGTTTTTCCTTTTTTACGGTTCCCATAATTTAGGCAATTAGCAGAGATTTAATAAATGAAAAGCCGATCTTTGTTCCCACCTACGCTTTATTGATTGTTGGAGGGTTTTTATAAAATATTACAGAAAAGATTTAGCCTTCAATGTGGGGCTGGATCAATGAGGTAAAAATCACAATCGACTTTGCTCCAGGCTTTCTCCTAATAAAAGTTGTTTTACAAAAAGTAAGCGCAGAATTGGTTTTATTTCCCCAATTTTGCTCGTATGTGCTATTTCTTAATATTGGCAACTGCGTTGATTATTATAACTACCCAAAGAAATGTTAACAGTTTGCTTTAATCTTTCAAAAGGTTTGAATTAAGTGTTGGAAGAATTATCCTTCTGGGTTCAATTCCAAGTGGGGAAAAAGACACTGGAAACATAGAGACTGTTTGAAAAGATGGTTTCATGGTGGATAGGACCACATGGCTTGAAGCTCCGAAGAAGAAAGAGCTAAGATGTTGAGAGTTCCTTGGTTTTATACCCTCTGTTGGGATTTGAATTTGAGCTTGTATTCTGATTGGTTGTCAGACTCCCATGGGGCCATGCAGGGGAAACTCTGTAGGCTCTCCTGAGTGGCAGGCTTGGTTGAGCCTTGCTGGCTTTGGGTAATTCCTATTATAGCTCTAACTGGAGTAGATCTTCGTTAAGTAAAATAGGCTGGCCCAGGCTAGAGTAATGGCCCATTAGCAAAAGTGGGGTGGGGGAGCTGAGTTTCTGCTTCTGAGTTGCTACTCTTTAGGGGAAATATTCTGCCTTTTTAATATTTCCTAGGATATTTCAATTTTCTAGGAAAGGGGTGGGTTTTAACTTCCAACAATAGTATGATCAGTTTGTTAAATGCTGAGGTTACAAACGAACTGGAGCACAAGCATTCTCAAAATTCAATATTTAGCATTCCTACTGGTTTTCATTTCTGCGTATCCAACTGGCACTTTCACCAAGATTTCACTTGTTATCATATAGTTTTATAAATGATATATTTTTATATGATTTCCAGAGATAAAATAGCAAATTTCAACTCGACTGGAAATCAGTTTTTGATATATTTAGAAGTACATGACTGTTGCAGGTTGTGAAATTGCAAGGTTTTTAAAAAATAGTTTGGAACACTGTCCAGTGCCAATATACAGTACAGTGTACATTATGTCTATACTACTAAAACTCAGATTCTTGTAACCTTTAATTGGGCAAATGGTGCATCATACGGCAAAACTTTTAAACGGGGGTACTTCAAATGGTCTACATCTGGGATCTTTGACTCTTTGACTCTTGTGGAATTAAAATTTGGCAAATTTTATAAGACATTTTGAGATATATTATCAAAAAGCAGTTTATGATATAATACAAGGTCATAAAGCATTTCCTGTGCTGTGAAGTTCATGCTGTACGTAAGTTAATTTCAAGGCAAAATACATTTCTGAATGTATCACAATTTTTGCAGGGAAAGCAGTACATCAGAAGCTCTTGTCTTGTTAAAGGTACTGAGGATTATGGTAGGGATTCTGAAATTATGACTCAACGGGACACAGGTTGTCTAGTAACATACTATAGTTGAAGTAAGCTATGCATTCAAAAACGACCTTGTAAGCATATATCCAAAAGTTCGAATTTTAAAAGGAATTTCTTTTCCCAATATTTTCATCCTGCCCATCCGAAATATCTATCAAACGCAGCCTGGAATTCATAGTTTATATATGTTATAATTTATTACTGTAAATCAGGGCTCTTCAAATTTGGCAGGTTTGACTTGTGGACTTTAACTCTCAGAATTCCTCCTCTAGTCATGTTAGCTCAGGAATTCTGGGAGTTGAAGTCCACAATTCTTAAACTTGCCAAGTTTGAAGACCCTTGCTGTAAATAGTCCCCGCTTTTGTCTCTTCATAAAAATAGCATGAAAGACAGGCGCTGAAGTTGCTGCTCGAACGTATGATATGGTCGCGAGTTGCATCATGGGAATTGTAGTCTAAGATGGCTGCGCGTTTCATTCATCTTGTTCTGTTCTAAATGCACGCATTTTCAGTTCACTTCTTTTAGCGGAAGAAAGCGGGTTCCTGGCTTAAACTTCAGTTCAACGTGACTCGCCTTGATTAAAGAAGGATTTACTTCTGAATAAACACGAGTAAATTGTGCGATAAACTTCGAGTAATGTGATCCTCCAAAGATGGGAATTCCGGTACTCCCTGAAAGGGCTTTCTCAAGTCTAATTCTGCAGAGGGTCAAATGATAATCAGCTAACGATATAATGAAAATGAGTACAGTTGCTGGGAAAGCCGGACCTCACCAGAAAATTAAGCACCTCTGATGGGGGAGGATTTTAATTCTCCTAATTCCCAGGCATTTGAGAAAATACTAAGTTGGGAACGGCTGAATTACATTATCCGATTTAACAGAACGGGGGTGGGGGGGGGGCGCAATAAGGCAAATGTTTGCAAAAATAAAACATGCCCACACACAAAAATCCCCAAGCATTGTAACGGTCACCATTAGTCTTTTTTTAATTCAATTAAAAATAAAAGAGAAACTTAATTCAGAAGACAGAACAAAGTGCAAGACAGAGAAAAAGGACAGAGGGGAAAAAAGAGAAAAAATAATTAAAAGAAATGACTTTCGATCTTCAGGACACATTTAGCCATTCTTCCCTCCATTGGGATACTGTAGAGAATAACATTTAAAATACTGACATAATCGCCCTGTCTGGAAATGCATTAACAGGGCTTTAGTAAACGCCTACTACGAATACCGCTGCAGAAATGTCAGAGTATTGGTCGTGTTTCTTAAAGAATAAACGTGGGGGAAACTCAGAGTGTGAACCACTTTCACGATAACATGCGGGTTATAGAAGGGGGGGGCAGCAGCGGGGAAGAAAATGCTCCCCAAATCAGGGATCCTTCCTTCCTCCTCGTGGAAAGAAGAAATATTAAAACTCCAAGGCTGGGTTTTGACCTTTAAGAGCAGACCTTAGTAATCACTCCCGGAACTATCCATGACTCTTGCAGGACTGGGCGAAGGGGATTCTCAGCCACGTGGGATCTTCAGATTTGGAGAGGTTGGGTATCCGTTCGCGTGTTGCGTGGCCGCTGTGGAGCTCGCCGGCCGGAATCTTTGTTATGGCACAGCTACAGGCTCGCTTCTTTACCAACAATACGAAGTAAGTGGGAACGGGAAAGATTCGGCGAAGGAGAATCGGAGCTGCAACTTTTCAAGGGTCTCCTTGCGTGGTACCATCACCAATTTAGCATTGGCTCCCGCCCTCTCCTTTTTGCCCGAAAGTGAAAAAATGCTTTTGCCCTCTTCGACTTGAAATTCGAATTAAAGCTAAGATGGAGGCAGGAGGGCATGTCCATCTAAGCAATTTTGGAAAGCGATCTCCAATATCTTATATTGCTTATATGCTTAGAATGGGCCGTTCTTCGTAGCCGGAGAGCTTCTGGGCTTTGCAAATGTATGGTTCTGTAACTAAGCTTTCAATAGTAACTATGATAGTTGGATAACTTAAGCAGTTTGTTTTAGAATGGCTATGTAGCCTTTTGTTGGGGAAGCCCAAATGTAATTTAAGTGATTAAAAACCCATCATCCACGATTTCAGGGAGCAACATTATATAGAATAAACTGTATTGGTTGCCGCTTCTTGGAATGGCAATCACCTTTTTTGTTTAGCACTGATTGCAATGGAAATATAATTTGAAACAAAAACGGGATTTTGAAGTGATATTTGTTGCAGTTAGCACTAACTTGATAGTACATAACTAACTATATCAGTCTGTACAGAGGAGTTTCGGTGAGCAAGCATTCTTGTTTCCTGATCAGGAAGGAAAATAGACAAGACTGTCTATACAGTTCTATAGTAAATGGAACCACACCTCCTTCTATCTTGTGGGAAACCTGTTGTATGTAGATGGTGATGCCTGTTTTGTAAACAAATACTTATGGAAAATTTGCATGATAGAAATAAAAAAATGCTAAAAATTATTAACTCTTTTATAGATTCTGCAGGCGAGTTATGTGAGTGTAACTATGTACTCTAATAAGCCCAATGAAATATAGTAAAACTTGTATAGGGAGTTTGGTGCCCTCCATACAGTTGTATTTTCTGTTCTCACCAAATTCAGCTTACATGGCTAATGACAAAGAATTATAGAAGCTTTAGTCCAAAACTAATTTGCCTGGAGAATATGATAGAACTATATAGTTTTGAATGCATGAAAGCTTTCTACCACTAAGGTGCTCATTTCTATTGTACTTGGTTTCTCTGAATTGGTTGTGGCATTGTGGTGCCAAATTGTGGTGCCCTGTGAGGTAGAGTAGCTTTATATAGATTGGGATTTATATCAGGAAGTTATGGTTTTAATATCAACACTAGGATTTGAAAAGCCATGTGAAGCCTGTATCCTTACATTACAGTTGTATTGTGTTTATCATACTGGTTCTCTTAGAATCATATTACTGCAAAGTGTCAATTTTAGACCACTGAATCCAACCACCAACTTAGTATAAGAATTTTACTGAAAACATCTAGGCTGACAGTTGTCAAGACTCTGCTTGAACACATCCAATAAATGTGAATTTTTCCTAACATTGCATTTGCCTTTTTTTTGCAGCCATGTTAAACTGTTGACTTGTATTTGATTTGCAATCCATGCTATTTCAAGATCTTATTTCATCATAAGCACCATTACCAAGCCAAATATTCATCCTTACTTTGATTTTTCTGTTAAATGTCATTCTATTATTTCATTTCTCTCACCTGAGATTGTTTTGAATTTTATTTCTTTTGTAGGATAATTAGCAAAATTTTGTGTTGTCTACAAAATTGATTAACATTTCTAACATTTATTCTCATCCAGCATTAAATAAACAAATAAATAATCTCAAACTGATCATTGTGGCACCTGTTTCGAATTTGGTGAGGAATAGTTGATGAACATTTACTGTGTTTCTCACAAAATAAGGCCGGGCCTTATTTTTTTTTGAGCCCCGAAAAAACGGCTAGGATGTCTTTTCGGGGGTGAATTAACTTCTCCCCCCGCGCACCAGCGCCATCTCCAACAACAGCATCTGAGTCGCTCCCGCTTTCCCCCCGTCCCCGTGACAACAGTGAAAAAAAAGATTTTGAGGTACCTAGGAGCACCGCACGCTGCGTTTTGGTTTAATCCCGAGCGGCTGGGTGGGCGTGAGAAGAGCCGAGCGAGCGTCTCTGCTGCTGCTACCCTTGGTGCTCCAGCCTCGGGCTCTGCAAGTTTGCAAAAGTCCCGGTGCGCAGCCCGTTCCTGCATTCCAAGTGCCCAGGCCGAGCTGCAGCTGTCCCTCTCTCGCCAGCACCATCTCCAATAACAGCTCAGTAGCGGCGGGAACCATGGAAGTGTTTTAGCCGCTTCTCAGGTGGGGGAACCGCCTCTGTAACTTCCACAGTTCTCGCCGCTGCTGCCGCTGTTATTGGAGATGGCGCTGGCGAGAGAGGAACAGCTGCAGCTCAGCCTGGGCGCTTGAAATGCAGGAACGGGCTGCGCACTGGGACTTTTGCAAACTTGCAGAGCCCGAGGCTGGAGCATCAAGGGTAGCAGCAGCAGAGACGCTTGCTCGGCTCTTCTCACGCCCACCCAGCCACTCGGGATTAAACCAAAACGCAGCGCACGGCGCTCCCAAAATCCTTTTTTTCCTGTTGTTATGGGGACGGGGGAAAAGCGGGAGCGACTCAGATGCTGTTGTTGGAGACGGCACTGGCGAGAGAGGCGCCAGCACTGGTGGGAACTCTGGTAGCTACGGAGGCCTGAGAAGCGGCTGAAACGCTGCTGGACATCCACGCCGACACCGCCCGCTTGCTGACCCGGGTAAGAGGGGCAAGGGAGCCCTCCGTGCTCCACCATGGTGTTAAGAGTAGCTGATGGTGAGGCGTACCTGCCCGCGGGGCACTCCTAATGGCAAGTTCCCCCCCCCCGCCTCCCCCCAATTTTGCATATTTTAAACTAGGCCTAAATTTGGGGGGAGGGGCTTAATTTCATTTTATGCCTAGAAAACATGCTCGGTCTTCCTATGGGGGGGGCGCGTATTGTTGGAGAAACACGGTATAGAGTACAACTTTCAAGCATGGTACTTTTTGTACCTGCTGATATTTCATCCGAACCACTGGCTTACTAACCTTTCTCAATTCCTTTCCTAAAATTGAGATATAATACTGAATTTCCACACAATCAAAGTGTGAGATAAGAACTAATCTTATTTAAATTATTCTTTATGCTAACTTATGAAAAGTCCTATACTTATTCTGTTGCTTCTAAGCTCAATATCTTTATAATCTGTACTGGAATCTTTCTAGGTATCAATTCCAGACTGATTGATTTATAGCAGGGGTCACCAACCTTTTGGACTTAAGGGACCACCAAACTCATAATTTTAAATCCCGCAGACCACTAATAGGAATTTTGACTGATGGTGACTTGCTGACGGTGGGAAAGTCGGTCCCATATTCCAGAGCTACAGTAGTCACAAGTCTGGCCCTTTGGTTATGCCGGAGCTGCTCCGGGATGACCAAAGAGCCAGTCCTGTGACTACTGCAGCTCTGGAATGTGGGCCTGACTTTACCACCAACTTCAGCAAGCCACCCCAGGGCGGATTTTCCTCCCCCACCATTGGTCTTACCTTCTACCGTGTTTTTTAGAAAATAAGGCAGGCGCCCCCTGAATAAGGCAGCGCCCCAACCCCCGGGCCGCTTCTTTCATGGCCAAAAAGAGCAAGTAACGTGACTCACCTGGCTCTCTGCCAGCCAAGCACTGAAGCTCCACCACTTCCGCTGGGGGGGGGGGGAGAGAGAGATCCGATCTAACCTTGGAGGGCTGGCGGTGATGTTCTCTCTTTCTCTCTCTCTCTCTCTCTCTCTCTCTCTCTCTCTCTCTCTCTCTCTCTCTCACACACACACACACACACACACACACAGAAAGATACACACACACACAGAGGTCCCTCACACACACACCCTCCAAGGCAGCCACGTTCCTTCACTAACCTGTTTTGCAGCTCCGTTCTCAGGAAGAGAGAGAGTGAGAGAGCGAGTATCCTGCAATCCCAAATAAAGAACGATCGATCGGTAGGAAAATGGGGTGAAGAATTTTCCTGCAGACTTTTTTGGAGATTTCCCAGTGTCTCTGCTGCTTCTGCTTTTTCTGCAAGAGACTCTGGGAAAATCCCAAAAAAAGTCTGCAGGAAAATTCCCCATCCTGTTTTCCTACCAATCGATCGTTCTTTATTTGGGATCGCAGGATACCATCTCCATTTTCAGGGGGGAGAGAGAGAGACTTTTGGCTTCATGCAAGGAAAGCAGCAGAAGCAGCAAAAGTCTTTCTTTTTCTCCCTGAAACTCCACCAGAAATTAGTCTTTATGAAACTTGTTGTGCCAGCGCAGCTTCTTGGAGCAGGATGCCTTGCAGGGTCCCAAAGACTCATTTCTGGAGGAGTTTGGGGGAGAGAAAGACTTTTGCTGCTTTCCTTGCCTGTAGCCAAAAGCAGAAGAAGAAAGAAGCAGCCCGGTGGTCGGGCCGGGCCAGGCGTGTGGGGCGCGTGGGTCAAGTTTCCCCCTTCATCCTTTCCCCCCTCCCCTCACTACCTCGTGTTCTTCACAATGCAAGCGACACAAGCCTTGTGTTCCCGCGGGCCATGTGGGCAGTGCAGCCTTGTGTTTCCACGCAGCTAGATTAATTGCTTTGGGAGGTGCTTTGGGGGTGACATTTCTCTGCAGGCCTCAAAATTTTCTCGCGGATCACCAGTGGTCCACGGCCCACAGGTTGGGGACCACGGATTTATAGTTCCTTAAATCTTGTTGTTAAATTTAGAGATATTTACTTTTCCCAGGCATTTAGCATTTCATTAGTATGCTAGAATTTCCCAGTGATAATACCTAAGGATTTATTCGTGAGATAGTTGTTCCATTACTCTTAATATATAAGTTTGCATTCTGGAGATACAAACTCATTCAAGATCAAGAGGAATTCTATGATCATGTTTCCGTCAATCTCAAACTTGCTTTTGGTTCTTATTCTGTCTCCAGCTTCTATGTTTCTATTGTTGACTGCCAGTTTCTGCTATAGAACCTTTTTTATTGAATAAGTCTTCTTTCTTTTCTCTTAGTGGGTGGTATGTAGGCTTCAGGGGATCAATGTTCAGGTGTTGATCAGAGTTTTTTTCAGGATGTTTCACACACACCAGTGAGGCCTTCTCATTGCAACCATTCAGAAGTGGGGATTGTCGTGTAGGATTTCTACTAGTGTTCAGACAACTATTATAGCAAACTTATTCAATCTTGCTCATCAGTTAAAGTGTGGCCATTAACTGCTCCGGTCCTTTGACTTTTTCATGAAGGTTACCTACAAGCTTGCATTGGCTATAAATATATGCTTTATTCAGGCAGGAAGATTAATGTGCTACAGGAATTGTAAATCACAAACGCAGATTGCATCTATTAATATTTGCTCTGGCTCTTTAGGGCATCACCAGTACAAGGACTTTAATTTCTTCTGTGTTTTGTTTTCTCCTCTGATGCTTTCACTTAAGAAAAAAAATGTTACAGATTTTCTTGGTAAACTCTGCTGAGTCTGCTCTTCTTGGAACTAGGCTGTATTATGTTCCTCATAAGAGTTTCTGGTTACTCAATAAGAAGTAATTGGTCAGTCATCCACACTGGCAATGAGCATATCTCAGTAGCTGTTGTAAACAGAAGCCATTCAGGAGAGCACTGTTTTCATTGCTCACAGCTAAGCCCACCATCATGCAGAATACAAGACTTTGAAGTTGCTTTCTTCCTCATCCTATGGAATTCTTTTAAAAATGTCTGTTAGTCCTGTTTGTTTCCTCTTTGAGCAGAGAGTCCTGAAAACCCAAATTATTAAACATATTTTTCTGAGAGAGCTGAAAGTCTGATGCCATGTTTTTTTAAAATATGTGATTCTTTTCTCTCTGTAGATATACAGTAGATGATGTTCCTTTTTCTATCCAAGCTACCTCTGAAGTTGCTGACCTCAGTAACATTATCAACAAATTGTTGGAAGCCAAAAATGGTATGTTTATGTTTGCGATGTGGTTCCATTAATATTGATTCTAACTATCTGGGGTATTGTAAAATCAGGTATCAAAAACATACAAACAATCACATTATTTTGGATTTATAATTATGCAGATTTAACTTTTTTTATAACTAATTGCTTCACTATAGAGTTTTCAGATTCAGTATTTTTTAATTGAACAAATTAGAAATGATTATAATCTAATCCATGCACTAGATTATAATCTGTTTTTTAACAGTTGATCTCTATATGCTTTCTTTCACCAATCCAGGATATGGATATGGAGTTTTCCACAGTATGGAAAAATAGATTAGGATTAAGAGATAGTGATGTCAGGCTGGATACTCCATTATATAATAGCATTTACCTATGGTTCAATGTTCATTTGCTTGAAATGAGAGCAAATATTTTAAAAAATCTTTCCCTGGATGCTTCTTTACATAGACAAATTTTTATCTCAGCAGCTTTGGAATGAAGCCAGATTGTCTACAATAGCAACTCAGTTTTGTTCTCATTATTGTTTTTACAAAGCAATCCAGAGCAAGTAATATATTTTGTAAAGGAGTCTAGCAAAACATTTGATTGGAAAAAAAACCAAGATTCTGCATTCCATTTTATGTATATTGGTAATATTACTAGTTATAGTCTGGAGAGCAAACTTGTTAAAGAAAACATGGCTATTCAAGAACAATGAAAAAGAGACTATATCTTAGAGACTATCCATTTTCCAAATTTGCTCTTAATGTAAGTTGTAACTTATGTAACTTGATACCTTTGATTCATTTCTAGACGACCACAAATATGTGGAATTTGACTTCCTTGTTAAAGGACAGTTCTTGCGTATGTCTATGGTCAAACACATGGAAATGGAAAATATTTCAACAGTAAGCCATTTTAATGTTTTTTGAAGAAAGAGGTTGAAATTATGAATTTTTAACATTTCTCAGAAATGTATTTTTTAAATGCAGTGCAATTTTCTTCCTAGAAGCTATGTGGGAGACTTTAATGGGTACGCTGCCTATTTATTTTTAATCTCTGCTTCATGTATTGTAGGGTTTTGAGATACATGGCGTCAAACAGTATTCACTTACATTAATAGGTACCGTGTTTCTCCAACAATACGGCCTCCACCAATAGGAAGACCCAGCATGTTTTCTAGGCATAAAATCAAATTAAGCCCCTCCCCCCAAATTTAGGCCTAGTTTAAAACATGCAAAATAGGGGGAAGTGTGGGGGGACTTGCCATTTGGAGCTGCCGCCGCCGTTTGGAGTGCCGTTGGAGCCGCCGCCGCCGTTTGGAGTGCCGTTGGAGCTGCCGCCGCCGTTTGGAGTGCCGTTGGAGTTGCTGCCGCCGTTTGGAGTGCCGCTGCCACGTTTGGAGCTGCCGCTTCCGTGTTTGGAGCTGCCGCCGTGTTTGGAGTGGCGACGATGCTCCAAACGGGCAGTGCTCCAAACGCGGAAGCGGCAGCTCCAAATGTGGCGGCGGCGGCTCCAAACGGCGGCGGCGGCTCCGCTTCCGTGTTTGGAGCTGCCGCTGCTGTTTGGAGCCGCCGCCGCCGTTTGGAGTGCCGCCGTCACATTTGGAGCTGCCGCTTCCGCGTTTGGAGCACTGCCGCTGTTTGGAGCACCGCCGCCATTTGGAGCGCCGCCGCCACTCCAAACACGGCGGCAGCTCCAAACACAGAAGCGGCAGCTCCAACGGCACTCCAAATGGCAACAGCAGCTCCAACGGCACTCCAAACGGCAGCGGCAGCTCCAACGGCACTCCAAACGGCAGCGGCAGCTCCAACGGCACTCCAAACGGCAGCGGAATGGGCAGAAGGGAAAGCAACAGCGGCAGGTGCCAAAGGTCTTGGGTCTGCAGCAAAGGTGTTTGGTGGGAGTAGGGAGCTCTCTGCGCTTCGCCATGATCGCCCGTTAGGAGCGGCTGGTGGCGAGGCTGCCCGCGGGGCGCTCTAGATGAGGATGAAAGGGGGGAAATTAAGTTACCCCCGAAAAGACAGCCTAGCTGTTTTTTTGGGGCTCAAAAAAAAAAAAGGCCCGGCCTTATTATGTGAGAAACACTGTACATTGGTAGCCACTTCTAATAATGCCTTTTTCTAATGATGACTTAAACTTATCAGACTTCTAAGTATATAGGTATAAGATTAATATACAGTACTACAGGTGGTCCTCAATTATTGACATCTCATTCAGTGACCACTTGGGGTTGTGATGGCATCGAATTAGTGGTACTTGTGATCAGTCCCCAAAGTTCCAGTTGTCCACAGTATCCCTCCAATCATGTGGTTGTGTTCCAGCTGCTTAGCAACCCGCCCGAATTTCAGAGCATTCCATGGTCATGTGATTGTGACTTGCAATCTTCCCTACTGGTGTTCCATAAGCAAAGTCAATAGGGAAGCCAACAGGAAGTCTAAAATGAGGTTTTTGCATAACAGTGGTAACTGGTACTGTTCCAGTGTCTTACCCTTTTTAAGCAAAGACTACATGTATTTTATTTTTAAAGTATAAGATTCGGACTTATGTGAATAGACTGAACATGCCCAGCATCAGAGTTCCTACGTGCCCATACTCAGCACCACCCAGACCTATACAAGTGTCCCCCAACTATCTGGAGCAGGGGTCGCCAACCTTTTGGACCTCAGGGACCACTAAACTCATAATTTTAGATCCCAGGGACCACTAACTGGTTCTGTGGGTGTGGCCTAATTTGTGGGTGTGGCTTGGTGGTCATGTGACTGACTGGGCATGGCTTGTTTGTAAATATTATAAACATTTATATAAATATTGAATTTTTAATAAAAAAGAGAGCAACTTTTACCCAAAATCAGGCAAAGCAGGCAGGCAGATTGAGTTGCTTACAGAATCACAGATTCATTCAGAAATCTATCTATCTGCCATTGGCTAGCTCAGTCTGTCACATAAAATTTGCTAGCAAGCAAACTCACAAAATTAATTCACAACACACCATGCATGTAAATATTGAATTTTTTATTTAAAAAAAGAGCAACTTTTATCCAAAATCAAGCAAAGCAGGCAGATTGAGTTGCTCACAGTGATCTTTCTATCTGCCATCAGCTAGCTCAGTCTCTCAAATTTGCTTGCCGTGAGTCTGCAATGAATTTGCTTGCAAGCAAACCTTCAGTCCTAAGGGAGGTTCGGCTGTGCTTAGCTAGAAAGCAAGAAATCCAACCATTTCCTGCTTCCTAGCTAATCTAAATCTCCCAGCACAGCAGAACAGATGATAGTCGGAAAAAGGAAAAATAGCAACTTAAGCAGACAAGTTTTCCAGGTGGGGAGGGTTTCTTCAGGCCATGTGGACTGAGCAGCCTTGTGTTTCTGCACAGCGGATTAATTGCTTTGAGGGGGGTGCTCTGGGGATGAGATTTCTCTGCGGCCCACCAAAATTTTCTCACGGGCCACCAGTGGTCTGCAGCCCACCGGTTGGCGACCGCTGATCTGGAGCATATTTGGAAGGAAGAAAAAAATCAGATCTATTCCTATGTAGCTGTTAATGCTGATGGAAGACAAGTTACTGTCCCTTGTTGCGGTTCAATGGAATCAAGGGACCATATTTACAAATCAACATGCCACTGCCCATTCGCTCATCTATTGCATTTGAATTTTAGAACCTGTCAATTCCATGGTGGACATTACTGAGTTAGAATCAGAATAGTAGTATGAAGTTTGTACTGGTCAAAAATACAGTTAAATGTATAACCTTAAAAACAAGAAGTTGTCATTTTCTAGATGGTGATGATAAAACCTCCCAGCATTCCTAAGCACTGGCCATGTTGATTAGGATTGATGGGATATATTTAATACAGCAACATATTTTCCATTCCTAGGAAGTGGGATTGTAGACTTAATCTCTTATCTCCTAGTTTTTGTTTTATAGTACAGTAGTTGATTTTTCTTTGTTTCTTCTGTGTACAGGAAAATGTAGTAGAAATTGAATATGTAGAGAAGTATACAGCACCCCAGCCTGAAGAATGCATGCTACATGATGACTGGATCAGTTCCATTGAAGCTACAGAAGAATGGCCAGATATTTTTAAATTTGCTTTTGGCTTTTTTTGATTTCTGATACAGCTTACTGTATCACATATAAGTTTGCTTTCCTTGTAAATAGGTTTCTGTGCTTTACTGTTGTAGAAGTTTATCCATTTTTCCTTGCCCCTTCTGTGTATCAATAGTTTAGGAATGAGATGCTCATTCCATAATAGTTATATTAGTATTGTCATTGTACCTTGCCAAAAGTTTTTAAATCCATTTTAAGATTTAATTTCTCTGAGGCACTGATGCTTCTTTCAGAAATTGTTATAATCCATCTTCCTTCCCTAAATCAGGGTTTTAGGTAAGTGATGCATTCAATGCGGGTTTATCCTACACTAATATAAGCCAGGCAAAATAATAAAATTTATATTAATTCATTTTTCATAAACATATAAAGCAGTGAAATTGAGCAGTGCAGTGGCCTAGAGGTAGAGCTCTTGCTGCACACTGTGAGTTTGATCCTAGATAGCAGCAGATATTTCTCTCTCTGGATGCAGTGAATAATTGTCTGCTGCGAACTCCACAAAGGCATCAGGAAGGGTATCCGGCCAGGAAACGTGTGAACTCCATTTAGTTGTCCCGACTCCACTCTGATGCAAAGATTACCAGGTCATTAAAAGAAAAAAAATGAAGCAGTGAAATTAAATGGCATCACAAATAAGGTTAAGATGGTGTTTCCAGATATACAGTTGCTAGAAAAAGTTGAGGCTTCAAGAGTAAGGATAGAAAGCTTAAATTACAATATGCCTCTTCCATTTTTTCCAGACAAATTCCCCAAAATAACTATACTGTTGCTTTAAACTGAGTGGATGCATTAGGTATGCATGTTATGTTAGTGGCTCTTTTTCTCAGAAAAGGATTGGCAAGATAAAATATGATTACTTTTTTTGCCATGATTTTCTTTTTTCTTTGTAAATTAATGGGAGAATGAATGAGTATGGGGTGGTGTTGGTAGTAAATTTTCAGATTTGTAATAGCCAAATTCTGGCCTGACTTAAATTGTTTTTGGTACAAATCACAAATATCCATATTTCTAAACAGTGCAAATGGTGTTTGAACATTATAAACACCTTGATATGCAATTTACATAATAAACTGTAATGGTTGCTTTATGGCTATATGAACAATAAGAATTATTGGGGAATAGCTATATTTTTATAGAAAAAAAATGGAATGCTGGTGGCTTTGAACTATGCACAGTGTTTATAACTCATTACCAGTCACATCTTGGTATTATATTTACAAAAATATGGCTTTGCATAGAATCTGAAAGTTCTGTTCAGTGGACATAATTGAAATTTTTTGAGGCAAAACTGCTGTGCACACCTTTAAAAATGTTCTCTGCTTCTGACTTCCATAGGATCTTGACTGGTTCCTATGATCAGACTTCCCGGATTTGGTCAGTAGAAGGCAAACCTATCATGACACTTGCTGGGCATGTAGATGTGGTGAAAGATGTAGCTTGGATTAAAAAAGGTAAATAAAATTCATTGTCTGTAGGGAAAAATAGATTTTGTAAAAAATCTTATGACAGACTTTTATTATAGTCAGCTCAGGATTTTTTGGTTACTGTTTTGAATTCTACTAGGTGATGGCTGTCTCTTATTGTTAAATCTTCAGGTTTTTTTTAAATACTTTCACATTTGTTAATGGAGGGGGTTTTTTGTTGTTGTTTTTTTAAAAAGATCTGCAGCATTCATATCTTTCACAGATTTGACTGGTCTGTATTACTTTTGTCCTGGTGTTGTTTACATGCAAGAACAATAGTGCAAGAGGCTTCAGACTTCTGCTTACCTGAAGTCATAACATTTCTCCTGGTCTCTTGTTTTTGAGAGACAATTCATGAAACTGGGGAAGGGGGAAGCGTTTATGTTATTTAAGGCTGAGCTACATGCTATTTTAAAATGCATTAAAATGTGGCTTAATTTTTACTGTAGATTTAGTGAAAGGGACCCAGCTTTAGTATAAAAGAGGGTGTTTGACTGGCTTTTATCCTTCAGCGGTGCTTCTGTCATAGATGTGGATATGTGTCTCTTAATTTACAGTGCCAGAAAGTGTTGTGTTCTTAGTAGTATAAGTTTATGCAACATTGATCCATGTTGGCATTTCAGCTAGATGCAAAGGAATATAGCAGCTGGATTCCATTAGTTTATTGAAAAGTAAAATAGAAAACAACCAGATTTTAAAGCAATAGCTAGATTTCCCTTTTAGAAACATAGGCAACCTCTGTCTTAACAGGTTGTACTTCAAGGGCTAAGAGGTGCTTATGACCTAACAGGCAGGTTAAATGATTCTCAGAATCCCATATATTCCTATTACTTTTTCAGACAGATAATACTTATATAGGATTATTGGCTCATACAATAGTAATCAGTACTTATGGATTACCACTGATCTTCATATTCTTTAAAATGTATGTATTATATTTCCTTTAGGTATAGCGCAGTGTCCCATTTTAAATACCCTGAATCTGATTGTGGTTTTGCTGTACCGTTTTGCTTTTTTTATCCTATTACCTGATTCTGGGGTAGAGTGAATTTGGATGATTGGTTTAGGAAATGTATACAGTATTTCCATTCTTGCCTGTATTCTTCAGACAGCTTGTCATGCTTCTTGCTCACTGCCTCTATGGACCAGACTATCTTACTCTGGGAATGGAACGTGGAAAGGAACAAAGTGAGGGCTCTTCATTGCTGCAGGGGACATGCAGGAAGTGTAGAATCTGTAGCTGTGGATAGTTCAAGGACCAAAGTAAGTTATATGCCTTCCTCCTCTGCTTTCATGTTCTAAAAAGTAGACAGGTGTGTTGTACTGTAAGTACTACTGCAGTTCTTTTGAACATTCAGATCAAAACTTCATGACATGGCCTTGTCAGGCTCTGAAAACTAAGAAAGACTTGTGATTCTTGTGAGCTGATTTCTTTATTGCTCCTCACTTATAGACAAGAAATCTTGCCAAACAAAAGCAGACTACTTGCACCATAAATCATATATCTAGGTAACATTCCATCACAGGTCTTGTAAGATGATGGCTTGCACTGGCCCTCCAATTGTTTTTAAATAACATTAGTTATAATTGCCAAGGATTTGCTTCCGAGGTTTTAATGAAATACAGATGTTTAGAGTTTGCAAAAGGGTGTGGGTTCAGGTAGGGGAAAGGATGTGTGTGTGTGTGTGTGTGTGTGTGTGTGTGTGTGTGTACATATACATATATGTATACCTATATATATAGTCATATATATACTGTGATGACCCGGGCGTGGCATAAAGGCAATACAGTTACATAAGTAAGAAAAGTCCCTTTAATACCTCCAACTTTGCTCCCAATGTCCAGTTACCTTCGGCTGGAGTAAAACCTCTCCCAAGAACAGTCTTTTAAGTGGAGAAAATTCAGTCCGAAAACAAAGTACATATAAACTGTAAATAAAAATCCACACAAACCACGCTGCAGCAATTAACTGGACAGGGCAGGATAAGGAATTGCAGACTTCAAAGGCCAACAAAACACACAGTTGGGAAGATGCCAGGAACCCAGATAAGCTTCGACAAAACAAGATAATACACGATTTCTTTTCAACAAGTTGCTGTGCGCAAACTCCCTTTTTAAATACTGTGTTCCCAGCTGCAGCTAATGAAGGGAATCAGGGAATCCTCCCCTGTAAGCCACACAACTCACATTGTTCCCTTCTCCGTTCCTCCCTGCGTGGGCAATGTCTGGAACTAATTGGAACATCAGCTTCTCTGTTGCTGCAGCAACTCTACCAGGGCAAATTGGACAAATGGGGGAGAGCTGAGGAGGAGGAACTTTCCCTGGATTCAGTGCAAATCTGGCTTGAACACAAGCATATGAATTTAGGCTGGAATCAGATCAGATCAGATATTTACCTTTTTATTCAAATGTTGTGCTTTTTATTAGTTTTGCAGTGGCTCCTGGGATAAAATGCTGAAGATATGGTCTGCAGGTAAGTTTTAGATTTTCCCACAGGTCACCCCTCCAACACACCCATCTTCCTAACAGTTGTGAATGTACTTCCATTGTGCAAACATGTTGTGTTTGTTGTCTACAGACAATTCAAATGCAACTTTTCAGTGATATATACACTGCTCAAAAAAATAAAGGGAACACTTAAACAACGCAATGTAACTCCAAGTCAATCACACTTCTGTGAAATCAAACTGTCCACTTAGATAGCAACACTGATTGACAATCAATTTCATACGCTGTTGTGCAAATGGAATAGACAACAGGTGGAAAGCATAGGCAGTTAGCAAGACATCCCCAATAAAGGAGTGGTTCTGCAGGTGGTGACCACAGACCACTTCTCAGTTCCTGTGCTTTCTGCCTGATGGTTTGGTCATTTTTGAATGCTGGCGGTGCTTTCACTCTAGTGGTAGCATGAGATGGAGTCTACAACCCACACAAGTGGCTCAGGTAGTGCAGCTCATCCAGGATGGCACATCAATGCGAGCTGTGGCAAGAAGGTTTGCTGTGTCTGTCAGCGTAGTGTCCAGAGCATGGAGGGGACTACCAGGAGATAGGCCAGTACATCAGGAGATGTGGAGGAGGCTGTAGGAGGGCAACAACCCAGCATCAGGACCGCTACCTCTGCCTTTGTGCAAGGAGGGACAGGAGGAACACTGCCAGAGCCCTGCAAAATGACCTCCAGCGGGCCACAAATGTGCATGTGGCTGCTCAAACGGTCAGAAACAGACTCCATGAGGGTGGTATGAGGGCCCGACATCCACAGGTGGGGGTTGTGCTTACAGCCCAACACCGTTCAGGACATTTGGCATTTGTCAGAGAACATCAAGATTGGCAAATTCGCCACTGGCGCCCTGTGCTCTTCATAGATGAAAGCAGGTTCACACTGAGCACATGTGACAGACGTGACAGGGTCTGGAGACGCCGTGGAGAACGTTCTGCTGCTGTCAACATCCTCCAGCATGACCGGTTTGGCAGTGGGTCAGTAATCGTGTGGGGGTGACATTTCTTTAGGGGGCCGCACAGCCCTCCATGTGCTCACCAGAGGTACCCTGACTGCCATTAGGTACCGAGATGAGATCCTCAGACCCCTTGTGAGACCATATGCTGGTGCGGTTGGCCCTGGGTTCCTCCTAATGCAAGACAATGCTAGACCTCATGTGGCTGGAGTGAGTCAGCAGTTCCTGCAAGACGAAGGCATTGATGCTATGGACTGGCCCGCCCGTTCCCCAGACCTGAATCCAATTGAGCACATCTGACACATCATGTCTCGCTCCATCCACCAACGCCACGTTGCACCAGACTGTCCAGGAGTTGGGGGATGCTTTAGTCCAGGTGTGGGAGGAGATCCCTCAGGAAACCACCCACCACCTCATCAGGAGCATGCCCAGGTATTGTAGGGAGGTCATACAAGCACGTGGATGCCACACACACACTACTGAGCCTCATTTTGACTTGTTTTAAGGACATTACATCAAAGTTGGATCAGCCTGTAGTGTTTTTTTCCACTTTAATTTTGAGTGTAACTCCAAATCCAGACCTTCGTGGGTTGCTAAATTTGATTTCCATTGATAATTTTTGTGTGAGTTTGTTGTCAGCACATTCAACTATGTAATGAACAAAGTATTTAATAAGAAAATTTCATTCATTCAGATCTAGGATGTCTTATTTTTGTGTTCCCTTTATTTTTTTGAGCAGTGTATATATAGGCACATCTTGTAAAGCATATAATAAGCCAATTTCATGCTGAGAAGCCTGAATAAATGAAATTCAACTTTAGTTCCATCCCATTTAATTTCATTTATACAATAAAGAAATGAAGACTAAACTTTTTCATTACAGAAGGGTTGTTAGCAATGTGGATTTCATGATTAAATATTTTTTTAATTATCTGGTTAAACTCAAGACATTAGAGATAGAACATTTCTGGGCAAAACAAGTTGGTCTTTTTCAAGAGGCTGGATTTGAATTATTCTCCACATTCCATAAAGTTGAGGACAATGCTAATAATGATAATAGGTGGGTTAGGTAGGTAGAAGATAGGTAGGTAGATGGATGGATGAATGGATAGATAGATAAGCAGGCAGGCAGCTTAATAACATCCAAGAAAAGATCCAGATCGTTTCTCTCCTTCCATTTCCTGCAATGAGCTTTGAAAATGTGTTGAACCCCAAGAGATAAATAATAACTTATAGCTAATTTAGGCTACTTATGTTTATTTGAGTTTATGAGTGTGTCATTATTGCCCTCCCTGTTTTTGTCTTATCTCATTTTTCATTTCAGTGCCTACTGATGAAGAGGATGAAGCAGAGATGGAGGAAGTAGTAAACAGACCAAGGAAAAAACAAAAAACTGAGCAGCTGGGACTAACAAGAGTAAGAAAGGAATGAGTGGAATCAGACTTGGCCTGGCAGTCTTTCTTATGGACAGTTGCCAGGATTGATGACTGACCCCTCCCCCGGCCTTTACTTCAAAATGAAATTTGCTGTAGCTGCCTATTATTTTAAGACTTCCCAAAGAGCTTTATATCAAAAGTTCAATTTTCTTCCACCAGTATTTCACATGGCATGCTTATTCACAATTCACTTAAATAACTGAACTCGCAAGTAATGTAACTACAACTGAGACATGCCAAGGTTCTACTCAGCTGCCCATATACCAATATGTTCTGCTAATGCTTTCTAAAGTAACATCTCTCTCAAGCTCTTATAAAATTCCATGTTACTTGGCAACTAGGAAAGTTGTTTGGAAGTTGTCTTCTACTGGGACATTCCAGTTCACTTCCCCAATCTAGTTTTTAATTGATAATCATATTTTTCCATTTATAAGAAACCCAGTGTTACCTATTTTTTTAGTGGTCTTTATTCCTCATGTCTAGACACCTGTTGCAACCCTCTCTGGTCATACAGAATCTGTGTCTTCCGTACTTTGGTCAGATACAGATGAAATCTGCAGTGCTTCATGGGACCACACCATTAAAATTTGGGATGTTGAAACTGGAAGCTTTAAATCCACTTTGGTAAATGCCACTTTAACATGACTTTAATTCATTTAATTTAATATATTTTTTTCCAAAAGGGGATTTCTATAAAATGCTACATCACATTTTTTATTGTATTGTAGACAGGAAACAAAGTGTTTAATTCTATAGCCTATTCGCCACTTTGTCGGCATATAGCCTCAGGGAGCACTGACAGACACATTCGGTTATGGGATCCTCGGAGCAAAGGTGAGTAGAAGTTCAGTGCCTTGATTATTCAAGTTTAAGGTCACTCATTTACTGAGCTGAGTAATTGACTTCGCATTGTACAGAGTTCATGTACTTTGCAATGTGCTTTCTAATAAGGCTTCCGAACCAGGAGTCGCTACTCACATGTCAACTGTGGAATTGAGAAACTCTGTAATGTCTGCCTACATTGGTTATTATTCCTTGAATAATAATGTGGCATTCTTGATGTGGCAGAAAAGTAATGGCCATGTCTCACCTTCTCGGCCCCTTCTTGCAAACACAATTATAGAGGACATATTTTACATGCAGAAGATCCTAGCATTTCCAGATCAAAGAGTCAGGGTTAGGGTTGGGATGATGGGAAAGATCTCTACCTGATTCTTTGCTACATTTCTGCTAGTCATACCATGATATGGCAGCTTCCCCTATCTCTCCTGATGGCCAATAGGTGTCTTGTTTCCATAGTTGTATCAGTATCATGACACTTTAACAATATAGTTTACATTTTGAAAGAAATTATTCAGCTCATGAGTGGCTGAGTTCTGGAATGGTGATTGCAAACAGCAGAGGTAAGGCTGTGTTAGGATTATTCCTCTGTATAGCTGAGATGCCATTTGTCTTCTACCCTGTGTTAGTTACTTGGCTGTAAGAATAATTTTAGGAAACAGGAGAAAGAGTGCAACCTAGACAACTGTCTGATAAGCAAAATTTTAGTCCAAAGAAGGAAGGGGGCAGAGTAATGATCTCAAAAAGGTCCCTGCCTAGTTCTCTGGAAAGTAAAGAAAGAGAGGGGAGAAATGCTTTCATTCTGCAAGCTTGCAACAAAGGTAGTATTATTACTTAACATTTTTGGTTTCCTGTCTGGGCTACCTTGAAGTGACAGTGGTCACTTCAAGTTAATGTTGGCTACTGGGGACTATTGACAGATCCCTGAAATTTTCTTGGCAACATTTTTGAAAATGGTTTGATGGAATGTCTTTGTAGGGCTGTGTGATGGTATGTGGGAAACACCTGGAGTAATAGGCCAAAAAGATGCTGCCTCGGGAATGGTCAGATCTGAAAAGGCATAGCCCACAGCTGGATAGTGGGCAGAGCAAAAGACTTCTTGGACTGTAAAAGAAATGATGGGAGAATTGTACCTCCAGGCTTGCCAGAGTGATATCAGTGATATAATGGAACATGAGAATGACCATAATAAAAGGGGGCTGGGGGAGGAGAGGAATGCTGCCCAGGGAATGATCAGATAAAAGGATGAGTCGTCCATAACTAAGTAATGGGCAGAGAAAGAAATTTTAAAGAGATCCACTCTTAACTATTCAGGTGATAAAAAGTAACTGTAGGAGATTTATACTTTCAGGCTTTACTGTAGCCTTAAGATAAAGTAGTTTAGCTCATCATTGTTTTTCCCCCTGTTTGGTCTACTTGGGAGGCTAATAGCAGATAGGAAAGTAACCAGATGAGGTAATTCTGCTTTACTCTAAGGCTACAGTATAACAACTATGCAAGTCTGAATGTACAAATCTGCCATCTCCTTTACTGCTCTAAAAAAAGGAGGGCTTTCCAAGTCTCTTGTCCCACCCACTATCCAGCAATGCCTTCTGCTATCTGATGTTAGCTAGGCCAGGGGTCCCCAACCACCGGGCCGCGGACCGGTACCGGGCCGTGGAGCACTCTTTACCGGGCCGCAAAGAAAAAAAAATTAAAAAAAATGGCGGCTTTCTTCGCCTTCGGTGAATGCTGCTGGGATCGGGGATCAAGGACACAAATGAAAGAAGGGGAGGGAGGAAGCAACCGAAGCCTGTCCTTCTCTCTGG